GTGTCTTATTTGAAGGTATATAAAAAAAAAACAAGAATAACGTAATAATCAAAATCAAATCGGATACAATACAAACCTGAGGAAGAACAAAGATATCGGTCGAAACGTATTCAAAAAGAGGAAGATGAAAATTGTATTTAGAAAATATATATATCGAATAATGAAAATGTTTCATGTCAGAAAATCTTGTACCTTTCTTATTTTTTAGGACGGGAGCTTTATTTTTTTAAAAATTTTTTTTTACATTTTTTGCTTAACCGACGACGAATTTACGATCAAACTTTCACTTCCTATTGTTAGGTCAAAGAAAATAAAGATATTTCTTGTTTTATGACATACCGTATTTGATGTTATGTAGGACTTTCCGGTTTGTTAAACAGCCACATTTCAGCAGGTAATATTGAGTAAAAACAAATGTCTACAGGTAAGCGTTTAGTGTCATTAAAATGTGTTGTTAGGATATAGAAAAGAAAAGAAGAAAAAAAATTCAAGCAGTATGCAATGAAGGTGACAGGAGATAATATCTTTTAATAACAGTAATACCGAGGTAATTAAACGTTAGCCTAATGTATCATTTAACATCGTATAAAACTTGAAGGAAATTTTCGAGCCATTTTTATTGGTGGGGAAACTGGATTTTATATAACAACTAGCAGCATGACCCGGGGTTGCCCGTGCTTGATTCAAAAAACGTACGACTCATACAGCAATCGCTATCACTTGACTTAAAATATTTTTGCCCTTCCTTGCCTTTAAAGGAGTGCTCTTTGCCGTGCTGACGTGGCTCATTCGCTTGCTCAAACTCAACGTTGTTTCTGATTCCGCAGAACTGGTTTGGGTGTGAAAAAGTATTTGTTGTTAACATTCTTTTTTCATTCGGTTTTTCCAGTTACGAGTCCTTTTTAAAGCTGATCATTTGTGTTCATTTGTTTAGTTCTTTTTTGTAACAGATTTAATGTTTAGTATAGAGCTTAGAAAAAAAATCGCAGTGTGAGATGGGCAAGAAGTAAGGCATGTAGCAACATCAGCACGGCAAAGGGTACTCCTTTAAAAGGCAGGAAGGGCAAAAATATTTTAAGTCAAATGATAGCGATTGCTGTATGAGTCGTACGATTTTTGAATCAAGCACAGACAACGGCGGGCCATGCTGCTAGTAAAATATAGAAAGACTGTATTTGTGAAATGGTACAAAATATTTCTGTTCTTGAAACAATTGTTTAGTTCAGTGTTTCTCAACCATTTTTTTTGCTTCAGGACGCAGTTGTAGAATCACTAAAACTCTCAGCCGCGTTTTAAACTTCAACAGGGAAAAACTAGTTCGGAAATTTGAAAAATAAATTGAAAATTATAAAGAAGTCTCCTCAAGTACACTTTTATTTTTAAGATTTATTTTTTACACTTGTATATTTAAGTATGCTTGCGTGAAACCTGTGCTTTGGCAATTGTTGAAGGTCATATTCGTGATAAACATTTCCTCATCAATGCATTCAGTATTTGATCTATTTAATGCTAGTAGGTTCAGAAATGGTAATTCACAGAGGTATGAGATGGAAAACTGTAATACAATATTCAGTGTTTTACAAGCTATTGAAGAATATTCTTGTTGAATGGAAATCAAAATCTGATCAATGAATACCGTTTTTTTTACTTCATATGTTAGCCACGATCAGCAGGTACACGATAAGTTAAACGTCATCAGTTGAAACGTCAACTGACTTAAACATGGAAGCCATCTGCTTGGTGTCTCTAACTTTTTAAACATAAAGATTTATTTCAATATAAAAATAATTCATGAATTCCTCTTCTGTTAACTTGGGGTGCACTGGTTGAGAAACGCTGGTTTAGTTGCTTAAAAGTCTTTGAGTGAAAATTCTTTCTGCAAATTCGAGAAATAATATTAGGTAAAAACAATTCGTCTGCTGCAAGACAGACTCATGAAATATAGAATAGAAAAATCTATAATGAAAACACGACGGAAGTTAAAACCAAATATGCTTGGATTAAATTAACTAAAACTCACATTAAATTAAATTCCCCCCAAAGAGTGTGCTAGGAAAGAAAGAAAGAGTATTTTTAGTTTTTAGTCCCCATTATAAGCATTAGTATATCAGTGACATACTAACAGTTCAGTGCTAACGGAAGGAAGGGTCGGGATGTTTGAAAGAAAAAAAAAATGAAAGGAACGATAAATATAAATTGTTCTTAAAGAGGTTTTGTATAACGCTATGTCATAGAATATACTTTTAACAAATATGTATCCACCTGTCACTATTCGTCTCCACATAGAGAAACTATAAAACATATGACTACAACAAGCAGACTGAAAAAGGTGAAAATTGTAATATTTCGCGCTTGGAAACGGCCGGGCAAGTGGCGTCCGCTATGTTCCGTGGTGGGAATACGTGATTTTTTTTGGGCTATCCTGCCGTTGGGGGCTTACAAATCTTATCTCTTTCGCGGTCTGCACAGCAACTTGGTTTCGTCAACCCAAAAACTTACGTCATTCACCGATCGACACGTGACCCACGTTAATTCATCTAACCCAAAAGTGAGATAAACGCCCTCTGCATCCCTGCACCTCGTAATGTGACCGTTTTTATAAACAATTCATTTTTTTTGTAAATTTTATATTCACAAATATGCCTTAAATTGCGGTGTACAAGTCGAGTTTTCAGGTCTAAAAGTGTCTTTCCAAAACTAGGGTTCGGCTTATATGACGGGTATAAAATGCAAATTCTTACCATAGCGTTGTAAATAAGTGCGACAGTGCTCCTAACAATTACTGTCCGTCACTTACCTCACCTCCAATAGACTGCCACAAATATATCCCACTAAAACTTGTGTTTGGGGAATATATTTGTCATATTAACACAAAAATTAATATAAAATAATAAAATGATAAGACAAATTCAGTGTTCTGTTAACGCTAAAGCAACCATCGTTTGTTTGTTTGTTTGTTTACATCACTAATGCAAATGGCGGATAAGTGATACTGTGTTTTACAATAACATATGATACGTAGCAGTAATATCAAAATATTTCCTGGTATGATTTGTAATCTACGGTATAGATGATGATGTTGATGTATTTATCAGTAGACCTGAAAAATTTTAAATGTTTGCTAAGTTATACCGATACAGTATACGGTCTACGCTGTAGGTTGTTTCCTATACAACACATAGAAATATATTACAATCAGAGTCTTAATATACAGATGTGATCTTATGCAGTTTTGGCACAGGTTATCGTATACTGTAGTATAACTATATTTACCGGTAGGCCTAAGTTTTAGAACACTGGTCACCTATCGTATATTTGGAGGCCGACCTATACGGTAGTGTAGGTTTAACTGAGAATTGTGAGCTAAAAATGTTGAGGTCGACCTATACGTTGCAATTGACAGTATTTTTTTCCTATGTTTAAAAATGGCCAGCGAGCTCCAAAGCTATGCAGATTTTGATTTTCTGTCAATACTGAAGTCAATCAAAAGACTTATTTGTTGAAGACAAAATTTATCAAGAATTAAGAAGATAGAAATATCACTTTCGCGAACAAGTATATTTTTGTTGCACATGCAGACGTCTCGCTCCACGCGTGTAATGTTCCCGATTTCTTTCTTTATTGATATTTAATAAATTACTTCACTGAAAAACCATTTCTTAAAATTCACTTCTCTCCTACACTGACAGGGTAACGTAGAAAACGAAATGCCACAGTCACCTAAGACAGCGTACCACAAAAATTAGGATATTATATAATTTAATGGCATGAAAGAGTTCTTTCATGTTGGTCTTTAACAGCATATCAAACTTTAAGGGATATTTAATGCGGAATCTAAATATTTCAACGCATTTGTATGCCTTCATGATATATATATATATATATATGTGTGTATGTATATATATATATATATATATATATATATATATATATATATATATATATAGCAAATATATGGATATAGATCCGACAGTATGAAGAAAAATATACGGAAAAAAACACCAAAAAATCCTAATATGCAATTATGCTGTTTTAATGTTAATATAATGTCGGCGTCGGACGTTTCGGCCTAGTAGACCATCTTCAGGACATATTCATAAAAACATAATTAACATGAGACTATATTTAATTCAACAACAAAGCGATGAACATAAAAGTAAGACTAATCAAAACAGACAACTGAAATTTTTCAAGATCAGCGTTCCGTTTCAATATGATCACGTCGGCGTCACGTGGGCGATGTTGTGAAAACGTATTTCTAAAATATAGTATTTTGAATGAAAAATGAAAAAAAATTATTTTAATCTAAAACTTATATGTACGTTTGTCGAGCATTAATCTTGCTAGAAAAGGGGAAATATTAAAGAAGCCAGGTCTAGTGTTCACCGTGCGGGAGATAGATATTATGCCTGCCTCATAAATCCGCCTAAGGTTTTTATTATAAATATATTTTAAAATCTATGTTTTATGAATATGTCCTGAAGATGGTCTACTTGACCGAAACGTCAGACGTTGACATTATATTAACATTAAAACAGCATAATTGCATATTAGGATTTTTTGTTTTTTTTTCCGTTATTTTTTTCATATATATATATTATATATATATATATATATATATATATATATATATATATGGGCTAACATTCAGATAAAAAGTAAAATAAATCATCTTGATAATGATAAGAATAATGAAAGCATGAAATTATAGAACATTTGGACAGTTTCTACACACTCTGTGATCAAAAAAGAAAAAAACAAACAAAAAATAAAAAGCACTAATAGTACCTTGTTTCTTGTATAAAAGAAGGATTGCTTACTAAATACACAATATATATATGTGTGCGCTTGTGTTTGCGTGTATATGTGCGCATATGCACATACACACGCACACACACGTATATATATATATATGTTTATGTAAGTGTGTATATGTAAATATGTGTATGTTAAGTAAATTTATCCTAATCTAAATCGAGGCCATATGTGAGTGATATCCAATGAAAGTCGAATTTATTGCACTCTTTCTCTCTCTCTCTCTCTTCCGCTGTCTGTCCCGCTCTCTCTTTCTGTCTTTCTCTCTGTGTCTTCGTCTCTCTCTTTCTGTCTCTCTCTCTGTGTCTCCGTCTATCTCTTTCTGTCTCTCTCTGTCGCCGTCTCTCTCTTTCTGTCTTTCTCTCTGTCGCCGTCTATCTCTTTCTGTCTTTCTCTCTGTGTCTCCGTCTCTGTATTTCTGTCTCTCTCTGTGTCTCCGTCTCTGTATTTCTGTCTTTCTCTATGTCTCCGTCTCTCTCTTTCTTTCTCTCTCTGTGTCTCCGTCTCCCTCTCCCTCTTTCTGTCTTTCTCTGTGTCTCCGTCTCTCTCTTTGTCTTTCTCTGTGTGTCTTCGTCTCTCTATTTCTGTCTCTCTCTCTGTGTCTCCGTCTCTCTCTTTCTGTCTCTCTCTGTGTCTCCGTCTCTCTCTTTCTGTCTCTCTCTGTGTCTCCGTCTCTCTCTTTCTGTCTGTCTCTCTGTGTCTCCGTCTCTCTCTCTCTGTCTCTCTCTGTGTCTCCGTCTCTCTCTTTCTGTTCTCTCTGTGTCTCCTCTCTCTCTCTTTCTGTGTCTCTGTCTTTCTCTCTGTGTCTTCAGCTCTCTCTTTCTCTCTCTTTCTGTCTGTCTCTGTCTTCGTCTCTCTCTTTCTGTCTCTCTCTGTGTCCCTCTCTCTCTTTCTGTCTCTCTCCATGTCTTCGTCTCTCTCTTTCTGTCTCTCTCTGTGTCTCCGTCTCTCTCTTTCTGTCTCTCTCTGTGTCTCCGTCTCTCTCTTTCTGTCTCTCTGTGTCTCCGTCTCTCTCTTTCTGTCTCTCTCTGTGTCTCCGTCTATCTCTTTCTGTCTTTCTCTGTGTCTCCGTCTCTCTCTTTCTGTCTTTCTCCGTGTCTTCGTCTCTCTCTTTCTGTCTTTCTCTCTGTGTCTTCGTCTCTCTCTTTTCTGTCTCTCTCTCTCTCTGTGTCAAATCTCTCTCTTTCTGTCTCTCTCTGTGTCTCCGTCTATCTCTTTCTGTCTTTCTCTCTGTGTCTCCGTCTCTCTCTTTCTGTCTCTCTCTGTGTCTCCGTCTCTCTCTTTCTGTCTCTCTCTGTGTCTCCGTCTATCTCTCTCTGTCTTTCTCTCCGTGTCTTCGTCTCTCTCTTTCTGTCTCTCTCTGTGTCTCCGTCTCTCTCTTTCTGTCTCTCTCTGTGTCTCCGTCTCTCTATTTCTGTCTTTCTCTATGTCTCCGTCTCCCTCTCCCTCTTTCTGTCTTTCTCTGTGTGTCTTCGTCTCTCTATTTCTGTCTCTCTCTCTCTCTGTGTCTACGTCTCTCTCTTTCTGTCTTTCTCTGTGTCTCCGTCTCTCTCTTTCTGTCTCTCTCCTTGTCTCCGTCTCTCTCTTTCTGTCTTTCTCTCTGTGTCTCCGTCTCTCTCTTTCTGTCTTTCTCTCGTGTCTTCGTCTCTCTCTTTCTGTCTCTCTCTGTGTCTCCGTCTCTCTCTTTCTGTCTTCTCTCTCTGTGTCTCCGTCTCTCTCTTTCTGTCTTTCTCTGTGTCTCCGTCTCTCTCTTTCTGTCTTTCTCTCCTTTGTCTCTCCGTCTCTCTCTCTTTCTGTCTTTTCTCTCTGTCTCCGTCTATCTCTCTCTGTCTTTCTCTCCGTGTCTTCGTCTCTCTCTTTCTGTCTCTCTCTATGTCTCCGTCTATCTCTTTCTGTCTTTCTCTGTGTCTTCGGCTCTCTCTTTCTGTCTCTCTCTCTCTGTGTCTCCGTCTCTCTCTTCTTTCTTTCTCTCTGTGTCTCATCTTTCTTTGTTTCTGTCTCTCTCTCTGTCTTTGTCTCTCTTTCTTTGTCTCTCTCTCTTTCTTCTCTCTCTTTCTTTTTCTCTGTCTTGTCTCTCTTTCTTTTGTCTCTCTTTCTTTGTCTCTCTCTTTTCTCTCTTTCTGTCTTTCTCTCTTTGTCTTTCTTTGTCTCTTTTCTCTTTGTCTTTCTTTCTCTCTTTCTCTCTTTCTTTTCTTCTTTGTCTCCTTTTCTTTCTTTCTTTGTCTCTCTCTCTTTGTCTTTCTCTCTTTCTCTTTTTCTCTTTCTTTGTCTCTCTCTCTTTGTCTTTCTTTGTCTCTCTCTCTTTGTCTTTCTTTGTCTCTCTCTCTTTGTCTTTCTTTGTCTCTCTCTCTTTGTCTTTCTTTGTCTCTCTCTCTTTGTCTTTCTTTGTCTCTCTCTCTCTTTGTCTTTCTTTGTCTCTCTCTCTCTTTGTCTCTCTTTGTCTCTCTCTCTCTTTCTCTTTGTCTTTTCTCTCTCTTTGTCTTTCTTTGTCTCTCTCTTTGTTTGTCTCTCTCTCTTTCTTTGTCTTTCTTTTGTCTCTCTCTCTGTTGTCTTTCTTTGTCTCTCTCTCTTTGTCTTTCTTTGTCTCTCTCTCTTTGTCTGTCTTTGTCTTTCTTTGTCTTTCTTTGTCTTGTCTCTGTCTTTTTCTTTTGTGTCTCTCTCTTTGTCTGTCTTTTCTTTCTCTCTCTCTTTGTCTTTCTTTTTCTCTTTCTCTCTTTGTCTTTTCTTTCTCTCTGTTCTCTTTGTCTGTCTCTCTTTCTCTCTGTCTTCTCTCTTTCTCTGTCTCTCTCTCTTTGTCTTTCTCTCTTTGTCTCTCTCTTTCTCTCTGTCTCTCTTGTCTCTCTCTCTTTGTCTCTCTCTCTTTGTCTCTCTCTCTTTGTCTCTCTCTCTTTGTCTCTCTCTCTTTGTCTGTCTCTCTTTGTCTCTCTCTCTCTTTGTCTCTCTCTCTTTGTCTCTCTCTCTCTTTGTCTCTCTTTCTTTGTCTGTCTTTCTTTGTCTCTCTCTCTTTGTCTGTCTTTCTTTGTCTCTCTCTCTTTGTCTGTCTTTCTTTGTCTCTCTCTCTTTGTCTGTCTTTCTTTGTCTCTTTGTCTGTCTTTCTTTGTCTCTTTGTCTGTCTTTCTTTGTCTCTTTGTCTGTCTTTCTTTGTCTCTTTCTCTGTCTTTCTTTGTCTCTTTCTCTGTCTTTCTTTGTCTCTCTTTGTCTCTCTTTCTTTCTGTCTCTCTTTGTCTGTCTCTCTCTTTTCTCTCCGTTTCTCTCTCTTTCTTTTCTTTCTTGTCTGTGTCTCTCTGTCTTTTGTCTGTCTCTTTCTCTGTCTTTCTCTCTCTCTTTCTTTGTCTCTTTCTGTCTTTCTCTTTCTCTCTTTCTCTCTCTTTCTGTCTTTCTCTGTTCTCTTTCTCTCTTTCTGTCTTTCTCTGTCTTTCTCTCTCTTTCTCTCTTTCTCTCTCTGTCTTCTCTCTCTCTCTTTCTCTCTCTCTCTCTTCTCTCTGTCTCTCTCTCTCTCTCTTTCTCTCTCTCTCTTCTCTCTCTCTTTCTGTCTTTCTTTGTCTCTCTCTCTCTCTCTTTGTCTGTCTCTCTTTGTCTCTTTGTCTCTCTCTCTTGTCTCTCTTGTGTCTCTCTCTCTCTCTCTGTCTCTCTCTCTCTTTCTCTCTCTTTTCTCTCTTTCTCTCTGTCTTTCTCTTTCTTTCTCTTCTCGTCTTTCTCTCTCTCTCTGTCTCTTCTCTTTGTCTCTCTCTCTTTGTCTCTTCTCTATTTCTCTCTCTCTGTCTCTCTCTCTCTGTCTCTCTCTCTGTCTGTCTCTTTCTCTCTCTCTTCTCTTTTTCTCTCTCTCTTTAAAAAAAAAATGTAATCTCTCTCTCAAATATCTTTACCATAAATCACTAGTGCCCAAACTATTTTTCTTTGGGTCGCACTCGTCATTTACAAAATTTACCAGATGCTAAAATATATACATTTAAATATTAAAAAAAGGAGAAGGTTAAAGGGAGATAACCATAGATTCAAAGTCAAAACATTATCATTGATGGCTCTTTCCTCCAATTTCCGTTTCTACCATATTCTTAATACTTGATATAAAGCGAAAATATTACAATGATAAAATCGGTCAATAATTATTTATAGCTATTTATATCGGCACTCATGCATGCAATTACAAACTTGAATTATTACTGATGTTTACATAATTATTGTCAACCCTGTTTAATGAATTCCCATTATTGTATGTTATTTGATGTCTTTCTTTTTGAATTGCCAGGGTCTTGCTGCTATTAGTCAAGATATTAAAACGTTAGCAGTTAAAGCAAAAGAAGGAAAACTCCAACCACATGAATATCAGGTAAGAAAGTTTGTGAAAAAGCTTCACTTCCAACAATTCTTTTTTTCTTGGGAAAGGGTGGTCATTTTGTCTCTGGTTTTACTCAACCAAACAAATCCTTGTGAAAGTGTTTTGATTTTCAAACATCCTTTCACTGACAGGTGAAAAGAGTTCCCAATGTGAAAGAAAACACTGACAAAAAAACACATTTTATAATTTCGTAATTATTCAGTTATCAATTCTCGCATTTATTCCCCCACACATATTTTTGTTACCGATACATCGTTGAATGTTATTTTTGAATTGTTTCAGGGTGGTACGTTCACGATTTCCAATTTAGGAATGTTTGGTGTGAAGAACTTTTGTGCTATCATCAATCCACCTCAGGTTAGTCTTTTTGGTGTGTCATCTATTAAAGAAAATTGTAAAAAAAAATAAAAATGAGCAAAGTTCTGTAAATAGTCTCAAAGTTCTGATTATTTTGTAATATATTTTAATTTTATGATTTGTTTAATAAGAATTCAAGTTTTAAGTTAAAAATAAATGCATTTCAAATTTGACCTTTGTCACTTGTTCAAAAGACATAAAAGGTTTTGTTGTACCTGTTTTTCACTAAACAAGGCTAATTAACCCCACCTTTCCCCTGCCCTGTTGGCTGGGGCTGTAGAATACACCGACTGCACTTCTGCAGAGGGGTAAGACACCCTCAATGAGGCGTCCTGGGTATGACGATAAACTACCTCCAGCAGCAAGGCCTCTGATCATGATATTTTGAAGAGTGTGGAACCACCTCTTAATTGCTGGTGTTCCCAGGTCCACCCTGACCCGTGCTGGTAGCACCTGTTAGGGTCCTTGCTATGGACAAGTAGTTAACCCCGAAACTGTGGTCAAAACACTATGAAAGTAAAAATAGGTTTTAATACCAGAAATACTTTGTAAACAATTATCAGTAATAAATTTTCTGAAAAAAAAAACCAAATCTCATAATTTTCAATACAGTTTTGAAGGAAAAATTCTTTCCAGAAATAGATTTTTGACAAAACAAAATATTACCAGCAATAAAAATTTTGTTGGCATTAAATAACCCATTGAGGTTGATATGCCGTAAACCAAACCTTTCCCATTTTTTTTTTGTGTGCCTTGTCTTTTTTGTCTCTGGTGCCTGCTTTCCAGCAAATGTTATTTACTCTCTGGAGAATTTGCCATTTTTTTCTTTGCTCTCCACACATTTGCGCTAATTTCTACTCGTTTTTGACTATTTCACTTTGAATGTTGCTCTCTTTCACTTCAATTTTATTTCAGAGGAATTTGATTATAAGATATGAATTTGTTTATGAAGCAGAAAAGTGTTTGCCATTTCAATCAGGGGGAATATCAATTTATGAACATTTTTATAGTGAAAGTATTGATATTTTTTTCCTCTCAAACCAATTTGGGGGTTAAAAAAAAAAAAAACTAATTCAAATATTTGATCATCTACTCCAAATGACTTCTGAGTTTGACAACTGAATTTTTTAAGCTACTTGATTCATTCTTATTGCTTGTTTCATTATAATTCTAATGTTTTTCTGATAAAATTTTTTTTCATAATCTTTAGGCATGTATTTTAGCTGTTGGTGGGGCTGAACAGAAATTAATTGTTGATGAAAGTGCCGAACAAGGGTGAGTGTTAAAAATGTTTTCATTTACCATTTCCCTTTATATTCCTGTGTTAGGTTTGATGTTTTGAATTTAATTACTAAGTGACCATTTTTCTTCTTCATGGTGTCTACGTATCTTCATGATTTTAAAAAAAAAAAGAAAAAAAAGTTATTTCTTCTTTATACCTTTTATAAGATTTAATAAAAATGTGCAAATTCTAAAAAGTGATCGTTTTAGAATTTAAATGTAAAAATAAATCTTGTTTATTAGCCCTTAAATTCTAGATATGTTTTGCATAATTCTATTTTTCTGCCTTGTTGATATTTGGTGACATAAGACCCTCCCTGTCTCTCTCACCAAAAAAAAATGATTCTTCCCATTTCTTATATGATAGGTTACTTGCATACTTGGTCATTAATGAAGAGTCTTTAATTGAACATATATTGCTTTATGTAAGACAAAATGTTCATTTTTTTTTTTTTTTTTTTTTTTCTAAATTAGATTTGAAAAATAAACTTACTGTATATACTCACATATCATGTGACTTTTGAAGACCTAATTTTGAAGCTAATTTTAAGGTCGTTGCATCATACATGAGATATAAAGTTAACATATGTACTGCTGGTCCTGGCTACACTGTTAACCAAACTATATATCCATTTACTGTAGTCAAATTAGTTTCAAAATTAGGACTTCAAAGGTCGCATGATTCATGAGTACATAGAGTAATACTGTCAAAAGTAAAGTTATATAAAACTAAATGATCTGATAATCACTTAAGATATGAAACTGTCAATTACAATACAGAGTTGCTTTCTTTGTCCACATTTATATTTATGAAGACTCTCTATCCGCAATATTGATTACTCTTGCTCTATGAATAGAGCAAAATTTTAAACAGTGTATGAGTGTGTGTGTGTGTTGGTGTGTGTGTGTGTTTCTCTCTCTCTCTCTCTGTTTCTGAGTGTTTGTGTCTGTCTATGTCTCTCTCTCTCTGTCTCTTCTCTCTCTCTCTCTGTCTCTCTCTCTGTGTCTCTCTCTCTCTTGTGTGTCAGTCTCTCTCTCTTCAGTCTCTCTCTCTGTGTCTCTGTCTCTCTCTCTCTGTGTGTCTGTGTCTCCGTCTCTCTCTGTCTCTCTCTCTGTCTCTCTCTCTCTGTCTGTCTCTCTGTCTCTCTGTGTCTCTCTGTGTCTCTGTCTCTCTCTCTCTCTCTGTCTCTCTCTCTCTGTCCGTCTGTCTCTTTTCTGTCTTTCTCTGTGTCTCCGTCTCTCTCTTTCTGTCTCTCTCTCTCTGTCTCCGTCTGTCTCTTTCTGTCTCTCTCTGTGTCTCCGTCTCTCTCTCTCTCTTTCTCTCTCTCTCTCTGTGTCTCTGTGTCTCTCTCTCTCCTGTCTGTCTCTCTCTGTCTCTCCGTCTCTCTTCTCTCTCTCTCTCTGTCTCTCTCTCTCTCTTCTCTGTCTTTCTCTCTCTCTCTCTCTCTCTCTCTCTCTGTCTCTCTCTCTCTCTCTGTCTCTCTCTCTCTGTCTTTCTCTCTGTGTCTCTCTCTCTCTCTTTCTGTCTTTCTCTCTGTGTCTCTCTCTCTCTGTCTCTCTCTGTCTTTCTCTCTCTCTCTCTGTCTCTCTCTCTTTCTGTCTCTCTCTCTGTGTCTCTCTCTCTCTCTCTCTCTCTCTTTCTCTGTCTCTCTGTCTCTCTCTCTCTTTCTGTCTCTCTCCTCTGTCTCCGTCTCTCTCTTTCTGTCTTTCTCTGTGTGTCTTCTCTCTCTCTTTTCTGTCTTCTCTCTCTCTGTCTCCGTCTCTCTCTCTCTCTGTCTCTCTCTGTCTCTCTCTCTTTCTCTTTCTGTCTCTCTCTGTGTCTCCGTCTCTCTCTTTCTGTCTTTCTCTGTGTCTCCGTCTCTCTCTCTTTCTGTCTCTCTGTCTCCTCTGTCTCTCTCTCTCTTCCTCTCTGTCTCTCTCTCCGTCTCTTCGTCTCTCTCTCTTTCTGTCTCTCTCTTTCTGTCTGTCTCTGTGTCTCCGTCTCTCCTCTCTCTCTCTCCTTGTCTCGTCTCTCTCTTTCGTCTGTTCTCGTCTCTGTCTCCGTCTCTCTCTTTCTGTCTTTCTCTCTGTCTCCGTCTCTCTCTCTGTCTCTCTCCTTGTCTCCGTCTCTCTCTCTTTCTGTCTTTCTCTCCGTGTCTTCGTCTCTCTCTTTCTGTCTCTTTCTCTCTCTGTTTTCCGTCTCTCTCTTTCTGTCTTTCTCTGTGTCTCTCGTCTTTTCTCTTTCTGTCTCTCTCTCTGTCTCGTCTCTCTCTTCCTGTCTTTTTTCTCCGTGTCTCCGTCTCTCTTTTTTCTGTCTCTCTCTGTGTCTCCGTCTCTCTCTTCCTGTCTTTCTCTCCGTGTCTTCGTCTCTCTCTTTCTGTCTCTCTCTGTGTCGCCGTCTCTCTCTTTCTGTCTTTCTCTCTGTCGCCGTCTATCTCTTCCTGTCTTTCTCTCCGTGTCTTCGTCTCTCTCTTTCTGTCTCTCTCTGTGTCTCCGTCTCTCTCTTCCTGTCTTTCTCCGTGTCTTCGTCTCTCTCTTTCTGTCTTTCTCTCCGTGTCTCCGTCTCTCTCTTTCTGTCTTTCTCTCTGTGTCTTCGTCTCTCTCTTCCTGTCTTTCTCTCTGTGTCTCCGTCTTTCTATTTCTGTCTCTCTCTCTGTCTCCGTCTCTCTCTTTCTGTCTTTCTCTGTGTCTCCGTCTCTCTCTTTCTGTCTCTCTCCTTGTCTCCGTCTCTCTCTTTCTGTCTTTCTCTCCGTGTCTTCGTCTCTCTCTTTCTGTCTTTCTCTCTGTGTCTTCGTCTCTCTCTTCCTGTCTTTCTCTCTGTGTCTCCGTCTTTCTATTTCTGTCTCTCTCTCTGTCTCCGTCTCTCTCTTTCTGTCTTTCTCTGTGTCTCCGTCTCTCTCTTTCTGTCTTTCTCTGTGTCTCCGTCTCTCTCTTTCTGTCTTTCTCTCCGTGTCTTCGTCTCTCTCTTTCTGTCTCTCTCTGTGTCTCCGTCTCTCTCTTCCTGTCTTTCTCTCCGTGTCTTCGTCTATCTCTTTCTGAAAGATCTGTAATGTCTGTGTCGGCTCTAACTTCAGTTCCTTTCACCAACGTGACGTCTCTTTCCATCTGTTTTTCTGTGGCATCTATTCCTGTTTTTCCTCTCCGTGTCTTCATGAATCTCTCTAATAGTTTCTGTCTCTGTTGAACTAACTAGATCCAACTATTCTCTTCCTTTCTATTTCTCCGTGTCTTCGTGGTATCTCTTCCGATGTCTTTCTCTCCGTGTCTTCGTCTCTCTCTTTCTGTCTTTCTCTCTGTGTCAATCGTCTCTCTCTTCCTGTCTTTCGTTCTGTGTCTTCATCTTTTCTTTTCTGTCTCTCTCTGTGTCTCCGTCTCTCTCCGTATATTTCACTGTACGTAACATTTGATTTAAAAGAGGACTCAATACAGAGTAAAGCTAAATAGACTCACCAGTATTTTACCATCGCCTGAGGAGGCACATTTGTAATGTTGAAACATAATTGTAATTGTGTAGCGATTTTTAACATTTTTTTTTTGTTTTAATATATATAGAATATAGATAAAAGTGTTGGAGGTCATTTATATTCTATCATTAAAGCCTTCTCTTTGTAAACAGAAGGACGTTATATTAGGCCTCCAACTAATTACCATTTAATTTTTTTTTCTTCCCACCAATAAACTTTGTCCATTGTTTTTTTTTATTATATAATTTACTCGATTTAGCTCTGGTGAGCGAAGTACGAAACCAGTTAGATAGCCTGCTTTTCATTTTAACTTTTTATTATCATGAGTGGTAATAATAAGACCAATTTTTGTCTGTTTATGGCAGTGGTATATATATATATATATATATATATATATATATGTGTGTGTGTGTGTGTGTGTGTGTGTGTGTGTGTGTGTGTGTGTGTGTGTGTGTGTGTGTGTGTGTGATTTTGTCTTTTAAAAACTGTATACTTTTTTGTTCGGTAACATCTTTTTTGTTTATTGTCCCCAACCTTTTCTTTCCGAATTCTTCTAGAAAAGGAAATTAATGTTTCCGACGTATCTTGTCGGAGTTCGTATAGAAAACTTGCGTGTCTACTAATTTCAGCCCACAAGGAAGTAACACAAACTCAATCTCAATCTATTTCCCAGAATAGCACAGCACAATCTGCGGAGCACATCATCGAATGAGGTTCCTGAAATCACATTGAATGGAAATTGGGTTTCGAGCATAAAACTCTTTAATAATCAACGTAAAAAAGGCTTATTATATGCTTTGAGACATGGGAAGTTTATTTTAATTTGAAATAACTATATCTTGGCCAGTTATAGATACGTCATCGTATAATACTAGTATTACCCGTGAAAATTTCACGGTGTTGCTATTTGTATCTTCTGATGACACAAAAGTTTTAAGTCAATGAATAAAATCTCCCTGTAAGCCCTACGGCTAAAAAAATATGTCTATGAAAATACCACGATTGCATTTTTAAGTTTCTTTTTTTTTGTTTTAAGCGTTTCACCCCAAGCAAGGCGGGAAGCCACTAGGACGCAAGGGGTTACAGAAGATTTGTAGCAAGATCAGATAGGAGTGATAGAGGAAAGGATGAGGAGAAGGATAGTGGATAGATCAAGGCAACTGGGGATGTCGATTGACATTACATTTGAATAGTTGGAGATTACAGCACTCATGGAAACAGGAATAGGGAAGGGAGTTCCACAGGCGAGAGGTGTGAGATATTTTGTTTATTGTCCCCAACCTTTTCTTTCCGAATTCTTCTAGAAAAAGAAATTAATATTTCCGACGTATGTTTTTTCTTTTTTGATCACAGAGTGTGTAGAAACTGTCCAAATGTTCTATAATTTCGTGCGCTTTCGGCTATTCTTTTAGCCATTATCAAGGATGAGGATCTTTTTAAAGAATAAAAACAAAGAACTCATTAGCTAAGTTAGTATTGGAGTAGAAGAGACGGCTACATTTAGGAGTTTCGACAGTGAAAGGGTGAGAGCGGGATGCCAGCGTCGTAGGGCGCTTGAACTCATGAAGTCTAGGAACCAGCGAATGCAGCTCCTCGGAGCAATTACCATGAAAGTATTTGAACTTAACAAAATCATGCACCAAGTAAGAATGCATGTTATTATTTAAAGAATTAAATGAGTACAAATGAGGAAAAATTCAAAATTTGAGAATTTTTTCATTTCACTGAAGCAGACGTTAATCGCATGGGAGCGCTATCTTTCCTTTCTTTCTTTCTTTCTTTCTTTCTTTTCTTTCTTTCTTTCTTTCTTTTCTTTCGTTCTTTCTTTCTTTCTTTCTTTCTTTCTTTCTTTCTTTCTTTTCTTTCGTTCTTTCTTTCTTTCTTTCTTTTCTTTCGTTCTTTCTTTCTCACTAACACCAAACAGCCTTTAGGATATGTCTTTCCAATCATTCCTCGCGATCAAAAAGGAACAGCTCATAATTTATGAGATACTGTCAGAAGCGTAACTTACGTGTTAACTAACTTAGGAAGCAAGCGGATTATTTTTTTTTGTGTACCTTATTCCTTGTTATGCAAACATCCAGCATTCCCTGTTGAGACACAATGTCACATTATTTGTCTCACAATGCCGCATTTTCTGTTGTGTCACAATACCGCATTCTGTGTTGTCCGCAAAAATAGCATTATTTGTTCTGCCTTAATGACACATTCTTTGCGATGTGACAGTGCTGTAGTCATTGCTATGTCCCATTGACGGATTCTTGAGTTACCATACTCCCGTTATTCGCTGTATAACATTGACGCATTCTTAGTTGCATCACAATGTCAAATTCTTTTTTTTTATGTCGCAATACACCATTTTTAACTGCGTCACAATATCAAATTCTTTGCTGTGTCAAAATGTGCAATTTTTTGCATTGTGACACAGTACCGCGTTTTTTTGTGTCACAATATCGCATTTTAAGTTGTGTCACAGTTACCTCATTATTTGCTATGTCTCAAAAGTTTATCAGACATCCAGTATGCTTCCTTAATCTAATATCCTCGGCATTCAACCTAACCAGACCCCATGTTAAATACGCTGTATCGTTCCTTAATTTCTGCGATAGACTGGTTGCCAACCAAGGCTTTCCCAAGGACATTCGCGAGTAAGGGAATATGTTATGGTGTCCACCCCTTTTTTCATACAAGTGGGCTCGACCAGTGTGTACTTTTACTGCTGCCGTTAAATACCCAGGGTTAGAGACAGTCAGGGTAGACAGAGTGATTGAGTTGGAAGTAGAGTAATAGTGTGAGGTAACCGCTTTGTAGGAGTCACAGTTGCGAGCACGTAGACTCAGAAGGAAGTCATACTTCGATATTGAATTTCCCAGACTGTATATAGATTATTATTGCGACTAACCGCATTTCTGGATCTACTAACCGTATGACCAATTGTATTATTACGTCAATACATTTATTTGCTGTATTTCATTCCTGCGTTTGTCATTCATTTGAGACCGGATTTCCTCCCGGAATCCACAACAGAATATAACAAACTTAACTGGAATTCAAACTCGACTCTCTGATTTTTGATTCCGGGGCGTTATCCATCAAACCACCCCCGCATATTCAAGCTTACAGTATCTGTTAATCCCAAAGGATCACGCATCTAGTTATTGACCAGGCTCGACGTTGCGTAACTTTGGTAATTGGACGAGGACCCATGTTTCGAAATGTTTATAATAGTAAGTCTACTTTGTATAGAAATAAAAAAAAAACAATTAAAAAATAGTCAAATCACAATCAAGCAGTTCGCTAGGCTCGTGACAGGCTTATCGAACTCTCTGTCTTCGGGCAGAAAGGAATCCAGCATAGAGTCTCGTCTGGGGAGTTAAACAAACCCAACCACGGGTATACGGGTCTAAGAGGAATTTTTGCACAAGCCTACGGGCTCGGAATCGCCGGACATAAAAACTAGCCTTGTGCCACATTTCGCCTTGCGCCACATTTAGCCTTGTGCCACATTTCGCCTTGTGGGGAGGTTTTGGGTAAATACCAACAATAAAAAAAAATTTATATGAAATATGAAGATTTACCCCGTCATCGGATAAAATTGCTTTCTGCCCGCTAAAAGTAAGGAGAGCGCTGTTGTGAAAGAAATGCGTAGGAAAACGTATGCCATGGCCGAATGCAACAATTCTAATTTTCGATTCTCATATTTTACTTATTATCAGGATCACGGCTCTCCACAACTTCCTATCCTTTGAAGCACCAAATAATTTCTGGCGCATTGACATACCTTCTGGTCCCATAACAGATATCCATAAAAGAATAAAAACAAAGAACTCATTAGCTAAGTTAGTTACTGTTTCCTTCTGATTCTCCTTCGCTTAGCAGGCCCTGAGGGTATTAAATTTTCCTAGCCGTCCTTTCTATTCTCATAAAGTGTACAGAAATTTCAACTGTATTTTTTAAGGAACAGTACCGTTCTAGTCCTCTAGTTTCTTTAGGATTTCCTTGTTGGTAAAAATTGAAACACCGCTTCTCGTACAATCGCCAAAGTTAAGCAACATCAAGCGTGGTCAGTACCTAGATTGGTAACTGCTTGGGAATGAATATCATGTTCTGTAATCTTGGATGTGCGGTTAGTGTAACGGATATCGACTTGGAATTGGAAATTGGAGAGCCGAGATCCAATTCCACGTCGAGTTATATTCACATATGTTCTTAACCACTGGTAAAGGTATGAAGACACCTGTTCTTAACCATTGGGAAAGGTATGAAGAAACCTGTTCTTATCCATTGGGAAAGGTATGAAGACACCTGTTCTTAACCACTGGTAAAGGTATGAAGACACCTGTTCTTATCCATTGGGAAAGTTATGAAGACACCTGATCTTAACCACTGGGAAAGGTATGACGCCACCTGTTCTTAACCATTGGGAAAGGTATGAAGCCACCTGTTCTTAACCATTGGGAAAGGTTTGAAGACACCTGTTCTTAACCATTAGGGAAGGTATGAAGCCACCTGTTCTTAACCATTGGGAAAGGTATGAAGTCACCTGTTCTTAACCATTAGGGAAAGTATGAAGCCAGCTGTTCATAACTATTGGGGAAGGTATCAAGACACCTGTTCTTAACCCAGCCATGATGCAATTAGTAGGACTTGTATCAGAAAATAATTATTATCTGCCCAAAATGCTAACAATCTAAAAATATTTTCTGGCTTTAAATAACCTGCAAAAGGTTGAAAGGTCGTACAAAGAAATCCCTCAGTCAATAAGTACTTGTTGTAAATATCTTTTGTTCATGGTATCCTCAGCATTCATTTAATGAATCACAACTTTGTTCTCCGTCTTTCTCCATAATGTGCCATTAAATTGATCAGAATTCACTGCCGTATAAGAAGACTGATATTACGAAGCAGAGTACTTTTCTTGGATTGTAATGAATTTTATTCTTTTTATAAGCAGTTTCTTTAGATTTTGGATGAGTCTTTGCATAATAAATGATCTGGAAGATCAAATGGAAGAGAAATATGATGAAAAGCATACTCATAAAAATTTGATAATAATTGTAAAGAAATTTGAATCTATTAATACTACAAGTAATAAAATATATTTAAGTAAAAAAGGGCAGATGAGAAATAAAGAATAAAATTTGAATAAAAAAGCACTTTCTTTCATATTTAAGATGAAATTTCTTTTCTTGACTAGTGAAAGAAAACTAGTCGAAAATAATAATTGACAATTAATACTTCATCAAAAGCATATTTAAGTAAGCAGGGCAGATGAAGCCTTGAATAAAAAGCAAGAGAAATAAGATGAAAGAAATACTAGTCAAAATGAATAATAGTAATCATCTAAGAAATTTGCATATTAATACTACTAGTAATAAAAGCAATGCCGCAGCAGGGCAGATGAGAAATAAAGAAAGCCTTGAATAAAAAAAAAAAAAGCAAGAGAAATAAGATGAAAAGAAATACTAGTCCAAAATGAATAAACAATGCTTCATTAAGAAAAATCTTATAAAAATAAAAGAGCAGGGGCAGAAAGAATCCCGAATAATTCGCAAGAGTAAGATGAAAGAAAATACAAATGAAATTTGAATCTTATTAATACTTGACAATAAAGCATATTTAAGTAAGCGTCAGATGAGAAATAAAGAATAAGCTGTGAAAAAAGCAAGAGAAATAAGATGAGAAATACTAGTCCAAAATGAATAATAATTGCAATTTTCATCTAAGAAATTTGAATCTTATTAATACTACTAGTAATAAAGCATATTTAAGTAAGCAGGGTAGATGAGAAATAAAGAATAAGCCTTGAATAAAAGCAAGAGAAAATAAGATGAAAAGAAATACTAGTCAAAATGAATAATAATTGACAATGCTTCATCTAAAATTTGAATAAGTAATAAAGCATATTTTAGAATAAAAAAGCTTGAATAAAAGAGAAATAAGATGAAAGAAATACTAGTCCAAATGAATAATAATTGACAATACTTCATCTAAGAAATTTGAATCTTATTAATACTACTAGTAATGCATATTTAAGTAAAATAAAAAGAATAAGCCTTGAATAAAAAAGCAAGAGAAATAAGATGAAAGAAATACTAGTCCAAAATGAATAATAATTGACAATGCTTCATCTAAGAAATTTGAATCTTATTAATACTACTAGTAATAAAGCAGATTTAAGTAAAATAATGAGAATAAAGAATAAGCCTTGAATAAAAGCAAGAGAAATAAGATGAAAGAAATACTAGTCCAAAATGAATAATAATTGACAATGCTTCATCTAAGAAATTTGAATCTTATTAATACTACTAGTAATAAAAACATATTTAAGTAAGCAAATTAGATGAGAAATAAAGAATAAGCCTTGAATAAAAACAAAGAGAAATAAGATGAAAGAAATACTAGTCCAAAATGAATAATAATTGACAATGCTTCATCTAAGAAATTTGAATCTTATTAATACTACTAGTAATAAAGCATATTTAAGTAAAGGGTAGATGAAATAAAGAATAAGCCTTGAATAAAAAGCAAGAGAAATAAGATGAAAAGAAATACTAGTCCAAAATGAATAATAATTGACAATGCTTCATCTAAGAAATTTGAATCTTATTAATACTACTAGTAATAAAGCATATTTAATAAAAGCAGGGCAGATGAGAAATAAAAGAATAAGCCTTGAATAAAAAGCAAGAGGGTAGTCCAAAATGAATAATAAGCAATGCTTCATCTAAAAATTTGAATCTTATTAATACTACTAGTAATAAAGCATATTTAAAAGCAAGAGAAATAAAGAAGATGAATAAAAAAATAATAAGATGAAAGAAATACAAAATGAATAATAATTGACAATGCTTCATCTAAGAAATTTGAATCATATTAATACTACTAGTAATAAAGCATATTTAAGTAAGCAGGGCAGATGAAATAAAGA